CACTTGCCCGGAGTAAAGATGGCGGCACTTAAAGGCGCCGAGCAGCCAGGCTCGGTGGGGAACCCCCGCAGCGCTCGTGCACAGCACCTTCACTCCCCTCCCCTGCCCCCGCCCGGGAGGGGATGGACAACGGGCAGGGGTGAAGCCGTCCCCAAGAGCTCCTGCAGGAGCCAAGGGGATCCTGTTCCCCTCCACATCCAACCCCCAGCGTGGCTCCTGCTCCACTGTCCCCAAAGGTCCCTGGAGGAACACAGGAAATCCTGTTCCCCTCCACATCCAACTCCACACATGGCCACTGCTCCAACATCCGTCCTAGAGGGCTCTATCACTGTCCCCAAGGGCTCCTGCAGGAGCATAGAGGATCCTGTTCCCCTCCACATCCAACCCCACAGCATGGCTCCTACTCCAACATGCATCCCAGAAGGCTCTGTCACCGTCTTTCAGGAGCATAGGGGATCCTGTTCCACTCCACATCCAACCCCACAGTACAGCCAGTGCTCCAACATTACCCCACAGGGCTCAAGTCCCCTGTTTGGGGGATCAGCACCATGCCCTGCATGTCCTGAGAGGGGTCAGGGATTTCCCTCTCCCTCAGCTGATCCTGGGTCCCCCATGGATGGCACAGCAATGCTGGCAGCACCCCAGAAGCCACCAAGGACCCTGCACTGTGCCATCAGTGTCCCACCTTAGCATCACTGTGGCCATCACCTTCACAGCTTCACAGCACCAAACTCCCTCAGCAAAGGATCTACGAGTTAAACAGCAAAATCAACGAACACTTGGAAGTTCATCTGCTGCTGGAAAAGGGATTCAAAGGAACAAATAGGTTTGGAATTATAAAATCCAGGCAGCAGCATCCCAGATGTTGCAAACTACTAGTGACCATGAAAGCAAGGGAAGTCATCCATGAGGCATGGAGGGAGCCCAGGGAAGAGTCAGGTGAGTGAGCTGGGACAGGGCAGAGGACATCCTTCCTACATCATCAGGGAAGCAGGAAACTCCAGACCCAGCCCGACCCAGGAACAGGAGCCTAAACGCTGGGGGTTGTCAGAGACAGGCTTGGGCTGGGGTCTGCCAGGTCACAGCCAGCCCCCATGGAGCAACTCCAGAAAATAATCCTGCCTGAAGGATTAAGCCAGAGCACTGCAGGCAGCAACAACCACTTCAACACTGTCCCTGATAAACACCAGACAAGCCTGTCAGCAGGGCCTGAGGATGGAGCAGAGGAAGCACCAGCTTTTCCTGATGATTCCCAACACACAGCGCCTTGCTCTTGCTGGATTTCCAACAGCTCCTCTCCAGCTTTGACCTAGCAGTTCAGAACAGCCTTCCATGTGTCCTTAGAGCCCCTCTGCACCATTGGTTTCTCACATCACCCTGCTGAGCTCTACACACAGATTTGCCTCGATCTCTGCTTGGGAAACAGTTGCTATAAAAACTGGATATGAATTACTGGCCAGGGAGGAGGAGACCTTGTCCTGTACAACTCCATAATGAGCTTCCCCTGTGCCAAATCATCCCTCCCAGCCTGACACATTGGGCACACACAGCAGCACGTTGGGCAGAGTTTATTCCAGCCAAGGCAGTTTCCACGTTCTGCTCACAGCAGAGACGATCAGAGGTTACACAAGAGCCTCAGCAGCTCAGCTTAGCCCTGCAGGGGATTCCCCACGCTGGCACTGAGGGCACAGCCCTGCCCTCCTGCCATGGCACAGCCAGAGGTGGCTTACAGGGCATCTTTCACCCATCAGAACACATACACTGCTCCTGTGTGCCACAAACCTTCACAGCAGATCAGACTTACCGAACTCCTAATCTCTACCACCCTGTTGGGAACCAATCCTGAAACCCTGAGGAGTTCTCTTTCCTGCAGGAAAAAGCTCATTTAAAGAGCTAACATAATAGCCATCCCTGAATTTTGGGGTAACAGTAGCACAGCAATTCCTGCTCAGCATCTTGGAGCTGAGAAGGGAGAGGGTCTGTGTCCAAAAGAAGCCTCTGGAGTGCTCGCATTCCACACAGGAGTGGGGAATGGCTTCACACTGGTCTCAGGCGTGGCTCCTCCTCCTCCTCGTGGTTTGGGGGCTGTGGGGGGTTTTCTTCCTCCCTGGTGTCCTGCTTGTCCCTCTCTGCTTGCAGCCAGGTCTGGGGAGCAATCATCTTCTTTGGCCCGTAGGGGGGAGGCCCAATTAGAGCTTCAATGTCATCATAGTTGATAACTTCTTTCTCCAGGAGGGCACTGGACAGCTGGAAAGGAGAAAGAAGGCAGAATGAGTCACAGAGGTTCCAAACTGCCCCTCTGAGCTGCTCTGACTCAGCTCAGGGTCCAACACTTGCTCACAGCACTGCTGCAACCCACCAGGAGCAGATGCTGGCTGTCCCCCCATGGACAGGGAGACCCCAAAACCACTGGAGCCAGGACAAAGTTCTCCAGGCTCCAGCACCATTCCCAAGAGTGTGTTTGGCTGGGAATACACAGCATAACTGCAGGAAACAAAACAGGGAATATTTCCCAGGGAGGTGGTGAAGTTACCATCCCTGCAAAGTGTTTAAGAGATGTCTGAAGATACGGTTTAGGGTTTAGAGGTTACAGCAGTGACAGGTTAAGGGTTGGACTTGATAACCTTAGAGGTCTCTGCCAACCTTCATGATTCTAAGCTCTTGGGAACTATTTGGAATCAGAGCTCCAGGAACAATGAGAGAAGTGTCCCTCCTGCCACTGTACCTGTGGCCCTGCTCAAGAGCCAAAGCAGCAGCAAGGAGACATCAGGCAGCCTCACTGCCCTCCCTGCACACATAGTGCTCACAAAGGGCTCCCTGTTCCTGCAGGCACAGGCTGGAGCTCAGCACAAGCTCTTCTCCAGAACAGTGGAATTCTCTGGCAGCAGAAGCCTCTCTGGAGCAGCAGGTGGCTGTCCAGTGTGGGACTGCTCTGTCCTGCTGACAAGACGCTGAACACTGACTCTGGAGATGCTTTGGCTTCACTTGAAAGCTGTTCTATGCTGAGCCTCTAGCAAACATCTGGCTGCTGTTAGATGGCAGCAGCAGGACAGAGGGGCCTGCAGAGACACCCCTGAGGATCCCTGCTCCAGAGCTGCCAGGGCACTGTCCTGGGACAGCAGTGTGTCCAAGCTGTCTCCTGACTGCACACTGGAGGCCTCACACTGCCTAGTGAAGGGCTTGTTGTTCTTTTTGTTTGTTTAAACACAAGATTTAAGGAAAAGAATTGCTTGATTTGCAGAATATGCAACACCAAGTTGGCTCCTGGTCATTTTGGATGCCATGGACTGATTTCCTGAAGGGAAGTCAGGGAAAGATACACACACAGTGCTGTGACCCAAGTGTGGTTCAGCAATGGGCACAGAGCTCCTGGCAGAGGTGAGGACATGCCAGAGGGGTGACAGGTTAAGTACTGTCAGGACACAGGGGAGGGGCAAAGTTTTGCCTCTGCAACAAGGACTCTTTGGTCTATCAGGCAGGATGGATCAAGAAGGGTATATCAGGGATCAGGGAGGATGTACCAAGGAGGGTGTACCAGGGATCACGGAGTTGAAAACTGCCTGGAATCACCAGAAACCAGGAACTAGCCCCACTCAGCCAAGGTGACAAGTCCCATATTCCTTCACCAGAAACTGTCCACCTGATTCATGGTTTGGTTTCCCCCACCCAGACACTGTCTTCTCTCCCGGAAATTCCACTGCCAAGAGGCAAGCAGAGAAGTGCAGGTGAGGGACACAAATTCCAGCCTTGATCACTTGCATTGAGTACTCCTCCTCCTCTAGCCTGCAAACACCAGCTGGTGTGAGGAGGCAGAGTACACCCTGCTGGGAAAGGCACACACATCCCTCCCCGTGCCTGCTTCCAATCCGTGGGATATGCAGTAAACACTCACTCATTCCCAACACTCCCACTACAAGGCTTTCTAGGAGAGAGACACTGCAGCAGCTGAGCTAGAGCACAGAAAGCAGCAAGGCAAAACCCACCAGTTAAAAACACTCAAACCAACCCAACCCAGCCAACAAACCCCCACACAGCCCAACTGACTGTTTTCAGCTTGTCCCTGTTCTCCAGCAGCAGTTTCTCTGTGCGCCTGTAAGCCTGAGCCACCAGGGTTTTGGCTTCCTGAAAGGAACAACAAGAGAGATTTGGGGTGTAGGTGGCAACACACACATGTGGCTAAACAAGGAGAGCACTGAGGGGTGGAGTTTGCAAACTGAGCCAGGCTCCCCAGCAACAGAAAGTATGGATAACTGGTTGGGAAAAGGCCAAAGAAATGCTAGTGATAAGGAGCAGAGAACTCCTGCCCCAGCACAGCTTTCCAGTGGAGTCACAGCTGATGGGAAATGCAGATTAAGGCTGTCCAGGAGCTGAAGGTGCAGCTCAGCACAAATCCCAGGGAAGCACAACCACAGCATTCCCAGATCAGAGCTTTTTTTTGTTCCCAGCTATTTGAATTTCCAACTAAAGCAAAGGGTTTGGATTTTTTCCAGTAATGAAGCCCAATTTCCTGTCAGAACAGGCTGATTTGTGGTCAGTCCCACCATCATTTTAGTTAGATCTGATCTAGGAAGTGCAGACGTTGCATCTGAGACTGTAGGACACAGGTTTCTTGTCATCTAAGCACTGCACAGTGCTCCTGGGCTGAGTCACAGCCAGGTGGGACTGTGCCTGTTCCCAGTGCCTCACTGCACAGCACAGTGTTCCTGGGCTGAATCACAGCCAGATGGGATTGTGCCTGTTCCCAATGCCTCAGTGCACAGCCCTGACAACCATGAGACAGGTAAGTGCTCACCTGTTGACATTCACTACCCAATGGCCAACAGAAAATGCAAATAGTTTGTGTGTAAATCACTTGCATTTTTTCACTGAACAGCAGAAAGCCAAGAACCCAGAGAAATACTGCCCCCAGGGAGGCCTTACATGGTCCATCATCTGCTGCAGGCCCTGGCTGAAGGGACGCCGGCCGATCCCGGGGGTACTCTCCAGCTCTGGGAAGGAGATCTGCCCGATGCTGGGCACCATCCCATACTGCTTCACCATGGAGTAGGCTATCTTGGTCACCTTTTTCAGGTCATCCTGTGCTCCTGGGCAGGAGAGAGACAGATACGACTTTTGCTAGCTCTGAGTGCAGGTGAAATATATCCTACACAGACACACATTAGGAGGAATTTATCCTCAGAAAGGGTGATTTGACACTGGAATGGACTTCCCGGGGAGGTAGTGAAATCACCATCCCTAGAGGTGTCTAAGGAGAGACTGAACATGGCTCTTAGCGCTCTGGTCTAGTTGATAAGGTGGTGATGAGTCCCAAGTTGGACTCTATGATCTCAGAGGTCTTTTTCCAATCTCTGTGATTCTACCAGTCTAGAGAGCAGAAGACCCACCAGAGTCCATGGAGAACACTCTCCCCACTGCTGGACTTTACTGCACGCATGTCAGGACCCACGCATGGCAGGGATTGAACCTACTGGTGGCCAACTCACCTGGAATGTTGATCTGCCACTGCCCACAGAGTAACCTGGGCTAGTGGAAGGTGCACCTGCCTATGGCAGGGGGTGGAATGAGATGGGCTTTAAGGGCCCTTCCCACCCCAATCATTCCCTGATTCTATGATGCTATTTGGATATAACTAGTTGGAACTGCACAGAAAGCTCTAGGTCTTCCCAAAAACCTCACCAGTAATTGCATCTGTGGCCTTAGGCTTTGGGACAAGTCTGAGACAACACAGTGACAACCACCACCAAGACCTCCATGCTGACAAGTGCAAGTCCAGGAACAAAACACACCATTTGACATTTCTTCTTCCAAGCATGGGGAATCTCAGTCCCCTGCCTGGATGACCTCGGCCCTCCCCTGCTCATGCCAGTCTCTGTCTCCTCACCTGTGGTGACCTTGTTAAAGGTGATGGCCTCAGCCACTCTGCCCCCCAGAGCCATACACATCCTCTCCAGCAGCTGCTCCTTGGTGAACAGGTACTGCTCCCTGGGCAGGATCTGTGCGAACCCCAGTGCTGCGTTCGTCCGAGGGGCGATGGACACCTGCGGCGCAGAGCAGCTCCCTCAGCTCACAGTGCAACAGCACAAGGAGGGAGAGCTGGAAGAGGTCTCTGCATTCATTCTCAGTGAGGTTTGTCCATAGTTCTGGGACAGGCTGGCCTGGAGACACAGCCAAGGATTGCAGCATGGCCCCGTTCCTACACTGAAGGCTCTGCCCTCACACACACACACGCACAGACAAACACTTTATGCCACTTTCTGCTCAAGAAATAAAGAGGAAATTATCATTAACAACAAGCCAGAGAAATCCTGAGACTTAAGAGTTAATTTGGAGCTTATAAGCCAAGCAGAGTTCACTTCATTCTGCTCCACAATCACTCAGACTACCTGCAGAACACAGAAAAACAAGAGCCATTCCCCCAGCCATTAAACAAGAGTAATTAACACCAGTTCTTACACAATGGGTCATTCAAAGGGAATGTGCTGTTGGTTCTGAGCCAAGGAGCTGTCACCCTTGTCATTCCACTCCCCACCTCCCTGCAGCGTCCTGGCTTTTGGAGGAGATGTGCATGGATCACATCCCGGGGTGCTGCAGAGGCTTTCCCTGCCGAGAAGAGCTTCAGGCAGACAACCTCTCTGTGTGACACACATCTCCCCATCAGCATCACAGCAACTCCTGCAGTGGCTTTGCTAGCTGCAACGTGCTGGGAAAGGGATCACATATGGATGTGTGCACACGTGGAGCAGCCTGGAAGTGCCTGACTGAGCAGCAGCACCAGGAGACTTGGTTGCTTCTAATTTTTAATTGCAAGGCTTCTCCTGAAGCTGGTTATCAGCTTTGCACCATCACTAGTACCAGTGGAGCCTAATAATGGATTTCTGGCAGCAAAGTTTAGGGACATGGTTTATAGAATCACAGAATCAATAAGGTTGGAAAAGTCCTCCAAGATCATCAAGTCCAACCTCCACCCGAATCCCACCAGCTCAGTAAACCATACCATGAAGTGCCACATCCACTTGTTTGTGAGCACTTCCAGGGATGGTGACTTCACCCGTTTCTGTGCTTAGTCACCCTTTCAGTGAAGAACTTACTCCCAGTATCCAACCTGAACCACTCCCAGTGGGTTAATGGTTGGACTTGATGACCTGAAAGGTTCTTTCCAACCAAGATGATTGTGTGATTCTCTTTGCCATTTGTTTTGCTGTGGTATCACAGCTCACAGAGCTCAGGGAAACACAGCAGAATTCCACACCAGTACCACAAAGCACTCCTGGCCAGGGGAAGCCCTCAGGACACCCTTTCCACCCCAGGACATACTCATCCCACAGCACCTGGCAGGGGAGGTACCTTCATGACAGCCTCGGTGTGCTCCAGCAGCCACCCAACCAGAGCGTGACCAGACTCATGGAATGCCACAACCTTCCTCTCTTCTGGTGACAAGATCTTACTTCTTTTGGCAGTGCCTGGAGGGACACAGAGCAGGAATTGATATCAGCACCAGATGTGACCAGGAAGGTCCAAGCCCAGTGCACAAGCTGTGACAGAACAGTCTGTGCTGCACTGAGGGAGAGGCAGCAAAGAGCCCTTCAATTACACGGGTGGAAGAGGTGTTCCCTGTCTCTGAAGTCAAAGCAATTCCTGCTTGGAATTGCTTGAAAGCACTGGCAGAAACTTTTCCCCTTCTCCTCCTCACAAGATTTAGTAATTAGACAAATCATTTGACATTGGATTCAATCTCAGCTCGGGAAAGCAAAGCTCAGTTCTGTTCCCAGGGACAGACCTGCAACAAGGCACTTTACTCTTTTTTTTTGGAAAAAAACCCCAAAACATAACACAAAAAACCCCCCAACAACAAAACCCAAAGTGAGTCTCACAGTGATTTTGCTGTCTTCAGTCACTCGGGCAGAACATGAGAGCAAAGAGATGCTGCATTATACATATACAAGGTCCCAGCTGAGAAAATTGCAGATTAGGAGTGTTCAAAGCAGCACAAAACCAAGAGCAGATACAGAAATCCTTCTCCAGAGGCTGGAAATGTCTCTGATTACACATGGCATGCTCCATATGAGCTTATTCCCAGGCTCCTGAGAACTAGCAAATGAAGCCATAACTCATACTTAATCCTTGCTCCAAAGAGGTGAGTTTTCAAGTGTCTATTTTCCGAGCCAGCAGTGTCTAACACAGAGAGTCCAGAAAGGATTAGAAGAGAAGGTGAATGGCAGTAAAACTTCCAGCACACAGGAAATGTGTTAAGTACAGAACACACAGCATGTCAAGCACTCCTTAGTCCCAGGAGTTCCATGCCAGTGGCCCCAGGGAGTGCCTGGAGCAGTGGGGGGCAGAGCAGGCAGAAGCAGGAGCAGCATTGCACCAAACTTGCTTCACGTCTTGGAAAACAACACTCTATTAACATGAATTTTTAAACAAAGTCAAGGGCTCTATTAAACAAGGAAACAGCAAAATTAGTGTGGCAGATCTTGTAAAATTACTGCTCAGGGACCCTGGAAACTGCTGTGCCCCACAAGGTGTGATGGAACATCTGATTCATTGCCATTGCCTTGATTTGCATCAGTCAGTCACTTACCCTGCCCCCAGCATGGCCCTGTATGGCTCTTTCCAGAGAAAGATGCATATATATTTGAGAGAGAGATATATATACACACATACACACACTTAAATAATCCTGGAAGCATTCCCTGCCAGTCCACAGAGTAACCCTTTACAATGGCACACAATGTGCCCACAAAGATTATTTCTTTCCCCACCTAAAGTAATCTCCAGGCAGGAAAAGCTCCCTGAAAGCCTGTACTTATCTCATTTATGAGACAAACCACCCAGGGAACAGCTCTGGTGCATCTCTGCTGGCCTTAGACAGCATACACAAACCCCACCAAGAAAACAAGCTACATCTGCTAAAGCCAAGCCCTAAAAGCCTCTGTGTGCTCAGCAGGTTTCTTCCCTCTCTCCCAGGAGACCTGACTGACTGCTTTCTGCTCCCAAACTGAAAACACAATGGGGACTACCACAGAGAGAAGTTCTTGCTCCTCCCTGACAGCAACACAAAGCTTTAAGGCTGACAGAGTTCCCTTTTGATTCCACCCTACTCTTATTAAAACCAGAAGCTCCTAATGGAAAGCACAGTAACATCATCTTTCTTTCAAGAGCAGCTTTCAGAGGAACTGAAATGCCCTCTGGATTGTGAAACCCAGAAGCATTGCTGTGACATGGCGAGGGGACGTTCAATACAGGGACCTGGGGGGTTGTTTGGGGTCTGTAGGCTCAGTCCATAACAAATAGCTATTCCTGCTAATGGGAGAGAATCTGATTAAGCAACAAAAAGCCTCCACGGCCTGTGACACTCTACAGAGCCTGAGTGAGCCCCAGCAGCAGCAGGAAGGCTGCCAGAGACCTCGTCCTGCAATGCCCCACCACAGGCACCCCAGACATTCCTTCTGATGCCATTCCCTCTGGCCTTCCTGGCTGTCTGCTGTATCTTCCAAATGTGGGGAGCTAAGGCAAGGCTGGAATTCAGCAAGGAAAGGCAAATGAATACCTGCAAATCTGGTCCATTCCTGCAGAAGGGAAAGCAAAGCACATTTTTACAAGAGAATGAGGTGCCAGGACAAGGAGAAATGGCTTCACACAGAGATGGTTTAGATTGGATATTGGGAAAAAATTCTCCCTGTGAGGGTGTGAGGCACTGGTGCAGGTTTCCCAGAGAAGCTGTGGCTACTCCATCCCTGGAAGCGGTCCAGACCAGGGTGGAGCAACCTGGGCTAGTGGAAGATGTCCCTGCCCATGGCAGGGGGTAGAACTGGATGAGCTTTAAGCTCCTTCCAACCCAAACCATTCCAAGATTCCATGATCTTTGCTGTAAGTGATGAGGATGCCCATGTTACATGTACATTTGTCTCACTGTTAACTCCTGGGAGCTCCCAAGTGCAGTTTGGGATCTGTGTTTTTACCCAAATCACTCCAAGGGTTTTGTTTTTCAGAGACAGGTGAAACTGTCTGGAATTTTCTCAAAAATCTTCTTTCCAATGAGGAATTCTTTCAGCATTTTCTGATCCAGCAAACACTCAGGACTAAATTCTAGGATCAGAAATAAGTGACCCAGCACAAACATCCTGTTCCACACGCTCCACTAAAGCACAGAGAGTCAGTCTGTGTGCCCAGGGCCCCTGGGAATGGCACTGCAGCCTGAAAGCAGCTCAGTGCCTGATTATGAAAGCCACAGCTTGGCCACAGGGCAGCTCAGCCCCAAACCCATCAGATTCAAACCCCTCAGGTGAACTCTAGACTTCTGGGAACTGTTTTCCCCTCCCTACAATACACTGCCACAGGGAAATCTCCAGAGGTTCCTCTCCTGGCAATGGCACAAGCGGCAGGGAAAGGCCACAGGATGTTCTCAGAGGGAGAACAGTGCACTACTGTCTTGCAGTTCATTCTGCCAATTCATCAAAGCCTGGGCTTGGAGGGCAGAGAGAAAAATCTCTGATTTCTTGCTGTTGAGGATGTGGAGCCTATTTGCTATTCATGTTTATGGAGCAGGTGTCCAGAGCAGCAAGAGAAACCCAATCCAAAGATACTGCCACTCTTTCTTTAACACCACAACAAAAACCAACACAAACCGCTAACCTTTTAAACAGAAAAAGCCACAGAGACTGGAATTTCCCTCTATTATTTTGCCACTGGCCATTTTCCCTGAGCTATGGGTTCGTGCTCTGCAGATTCAGGTGTATGGATCCATCTGGGGCCTTTTTCAGAGGACTTTCTGTGACTGTGGCATCAAACACCTTCAGGCCAGAGCACAGTCAGGATCCACCTGTCTTCTTCAAACGTAACCCCTCACCTGAGCCTTCCCTTGATTGGTACAGACTCTCAAAGAAACAACTGAAGTGCTGCTGCACTGGCACAGGTTGCCCAGAGCAGCTGTGGCTACTCCATCCCTGGAAGTGTTCCAGGCCAGGATGGACAAGGCTTGGAGCAACCTGGGCTAGTGGAAGGTGTCCCTGCCCATGGCAGGGGGTAGAACGAGATATCCTTTAGGGTCCCTTCTCACCCAAAGCATTCCCTGACTCCATGGAGTGGCTGTGTCACTCACCTGCAATGACTCTTTCCACAGCATACTCGAAGTTGAAGGTATCAATGGATTTGTGTCCTTCCCTGGCAGCATGTAGAGCTGCTTCATTGCAGATATTGGCTATGTCAGCCCCTGTAGACATGAGTTTATGAGTTACATTGGATTTGTGTGTCACTGGGATTTCAGAGGACAGAAAAACTGTGGAGAAGAACCTAAGGAAGCTAAACAGGCTGTGCTTTCTGTTCCTTGGGAACAGAGACAACCCCAGTCTGTGGTGTTTATGTTGGACTGGAACAATACAACTGCCTTGGCAAGGAATGCTGATAGCACAAAGTTCAGCAATCCCCAGGCAGGCTGAGGCCAGGGCTGGCTCCCAGGGACAGGGCAGTGGTGTGGGCAGTGGGGCTGCCAGGGACTGTCACACTGCTCCTGCTGCGACCACATGGCCTCAGAGCAAGGGAAGGAACATCTGTTCCCAGTTTGTGTGGGTGGTGGTGGGGAGCTGCTCACAGAAGTCACAGAGAGGCATTGTGCTGGGGCCTGTGAGAGGGGAAACCCAGAAAGGATATTCCAGGAACTCCACACAAACAGGAACTCTGGAGTCCCTTGCTCAGCACTGTTTCAAGCTCCCAGAGACCAGCCCTGGAAGCAGAGCCAGGCAGAGCTGTCTAATTTCTGCTCTGAACAGCAAATAGTACCTACTCATTCCTCCCATTGCTTTCCCAGTAACATAAATCAATTTAACAATCTTTCCCCTGAAGTGCAACACCTCATCCTCAAACACAGGAGCATGAGTGGTTCCTTCCCTTAGGAATTAGGAACCTGAGTGTTATGAAAGTGCATTTTCCCTACCCCTCCACCCTGCTAGTCCCACAAGCTTCAGGAGACTGAAAACAGTCATGCACAATTGCTCATCAGAGGAGAGAGGGACCTGGGAGCTGGTCAGGCTCTCACTATCCCCACAGAAGTGGAAGAAAAAGCCCTTTAGACCCAAACCAGCCTGTGAAACCCATAGCAGACAGGAGAGCAGCAGAGCAGTCCCTGAAGACACAAGTGTCATACCACTGAAGCCTGGAGTCAGCTCAGCCAGGTGCTGGGAGTAGAAACTGGCGTCTTGGATCAGCTTGAGGCCCTTCAGGTGCTGCTCAAAGATCTCTTTTCTCTCCTGTAAAACACACAACACCTGAGACCAGTGAGGGGTCACAGTGTGGCAGTTTCCCTGCTGTCCATCACAGGGAGCAGAGGACAGTGGCACTGCCAGCAGAGGGGACAGTGACAGTGCCAGCAGAGGGCAGGGCTGTCCTTGCAGCGATTCAGGAGCCCTGATAAACACCAGCTCTCAAATTCACAACAGATGCATGGAGGCTCACCGTGAGTCACTGCTTTCTCTCTCTCTCAAGGCCACTCTCCCCTCCTCACTTTCACTCTGATCTGTCTTAACTTCACCCTGCCCATAAAAGCTCTCTCAGGAAGGAGCTCTGATTGCCCCGACCTGCTCCTCCTGCACAAACCACAAGCTGCAGAGGCCATGCACAGCTCCTCAGCCCATTTCCCAGACGGAGGTGGGGGTGAGACGGCTGGCCAGGAGCCACCAGTGACTCACTCAGCTGGTCCAGGAGATCCTGACTCAAACAATGGGCTCAGTTGCCAGGGTTTTTCCCCTTCCTCCTTCAGGGCAGCTGCACAGTTCATGCTTCCTGTGCCAGATTCTATCAGGCATTTAAGGTATTTTAACTGAAAACTCTGCGGAGGACAGCGAGGCACAGATGGGAGAGGAAGAGCCTGTGCTGGCAGAGTACACAGATCCTCACTGCAGCTGAGCCTATTCCCAGAATCCTGCTACAAATGTCAACACAGAGGACATGGAAGACTCCTAGTAAATGGATTTAAAAAGCATTCAGGAGGAGAAAGTCACTTACAGGCTGCCTAAAGGAAAATGAGGAGACTCACAAGAGCAGAGAGGGCAAGAAACCTACAAAAAAAAATGGTGCTCAAGGCACATGACCATTTAAGGTCTCACTCCAGCCAACATGCCAATTAGGTGCTTCCCAATTTCCTGGAGAGAAGACACAAACATAGTTCTGCATCTGCATGGCAAAGGGAACCTCGCAGAACTCCCTGCCAAAGCTCTACCAAAGCAGAGACACTCCAAACCAGTAAGCTCTCACTTCAGAGGAATGAGAACTGCATCAGCATGACAAACCCTTGATTCAGAGCACAGCAACAAGAACAAAGGCAAACAGAAGCTCAACCACCTCCATCTCCAAGCTCAGCCTTTGCCAGGCCAGCAAAGGACTCAATCACCAGGGTTATGGGAAGGTCACATAGCTGGTGGGACACACCTGGAGCGTGGGGAGGTCGATGAAGATGTGCCTGTCCAGCCTCCCAGGTCTCATGAGGGCATTGTCCAGGATGTCCGCACGGTTGGTGGAGGCCAACACTATGACATGGTCCGTGGTCCCCATTCCTGCCAAAGCCAAACAAGGGAGAAGGTTTGCACCACCACAGGCACTGCACTGAAGGCTGGAGGCACAGGGCAGCTTGCACAGCTTTAGCACAAAGCCAGAGGGTGCTCACAGCTCAGAGCAAAGACAGGAAGGAACCTCTCAGGGAACCCAGGCCAGGCTCTGGTCGCTAGGATACTCTGAAATCCCCTTTTCATTTACCCTGCCAAAGCCAAACAAGGGAGAAGGTTTGCACCACCACAGGCACTGCACTGAAGGCTGGAGGCACAGGGCAGCTTGCACAGCTTTAGCACAAAGCCAGAGGGTGCTCACAGCTCAGAGCAAAGACAGGAAGGAACCTCTCAGGGAACCCAGGCCAGGCTCTGGTCGCTAGGATACTCTGAAATCCCCTTTTCATTTACAAA